GCTTTCTCATACTCCTTGTTTTGTGACAAATTACACTCTGTAACTAATTTGCGTAGGATAATTCTGTTATCAGTACAATCTTATCTGCAGTAGACTTAACCATACTGTCAACCACGGTCAATATTGGGATTAAGTTATTGGAAAGCAAGAGTAAAAACAATAGTATACGGTAACAAAGATATGTTCCCTAATACATTCCCATTATAGTGTCACTGTTATATTCTTACAATTTGCATGCTACTACTACTTCATCTATCAAAGCATCTTTTAACTGCACACTAGTGCCAGGAATGAGCATGGGTGCTGAGATACAGGCATACCTGATGCGGATTAACTAAGAGGTATAATGTTGGTGGTTCTTCAAAATGTAGACTGACATGTACACAGACTGAGGTAATAAAAAGAGAGATGCAGGGTCAACACATTTTCACTCCCAAATCGTCAAATAGTAATGCTTAGATAAAGTTCCTTGCACGTCACATACTGAAGTGACACACAGTCATATATTCATATATTCATGCTCAGGGTAAGTGGCTGGTTGCACACATAGTATCAGACATACACTTGAACCATGAAATATTTTATTCCTCTTTCAACAAAGTTGTTGTTGATAGCTTAGGAGTGTATGGCAACATGAATACTAGTTTTTCTATAGGTTTAAGGGTTAAAGTAAGGGAAGGGTTGGTGTTCGTTTTTTTTATGTACAGTTCCTGGCAATTTTTTGGAAGTTCCTGTTACAACCTAACCTACATATTATGTACCCTGTGTGTCAAGAGAGGTACCCCCATGGTGTCAGTATTGGACACACAGGGACTTTACCAGCCTTCAGTATCTGATGATTATGGGGTTTTAAAACATCTGTCATACAAGTTGAAGGCTTAGGTGAAGAAAATAGTTTTGCTAACTCTGAAAGTTCAATGGGATGAAAACTGTCTAAACCTGGTTCAGATTCTATAGTTACCTCAGATGCAGCCTCACGTTCGAGAGATAAACCAGTCATAGTTAATGATCTTGGTTTTAATAGAATCAAATCTATTTATAAAGAATCCAATAAAAGCATTAATGTAAAGAGCAGGAGAAATAGTTGTTTCAACAGAGCTATGGCTCTGGTGAGTTCGACAACTGCATTAAGAAGAAATCTAGGATTATTCTTATTCTCTAAGTGTCACGGGTTCATTTCAAAAATACAAAAATGATGGTCCAGCCGAAAAAAAATATCGTTTGTGCTTTTTCTTTTATTGCTCCCCAGGTGGAAATAGTGAAACAGTGATGATATTTACAGTGAAGCGAAAAAACAAAAACAAGTATTTACAGGACTATTTACAGGACAACTTACTTGGACAGCCAACACTACCATCAGATCCAGCACTCTCCCTCAAATGAGCTCAGCTCCCCTTTAAATACCCCTTTAGCCCCTCCCCAGGGTAAACCAAAATACAAATTAAGGGGTTTTAAGGATAAAAACAAAATAACCAAATAACAAAACTCAAAACCCAGTTTCCTGCATAGAAACTAAAAAATGAACAAAAATGACTCCATACATTGTTTAAAACGTCAGGAACATAAACAATATAAAAATACAAAACAAAACACCCAAAATGGTTAAGTCCTTTGTCACGTGACTGGCAAAGCGCGCCACTCTGCGCTATTTCCAGCGTGACGCGGAAGTGCTCCAGTTTGGCCCCTTGACCAAGTTCGTTGGGACTGTGCAGGACCGCGGGA